ACAATAAACTTATAAGTTAAATATAATTAGCCTACTGTATTACTCATCAACAAGTACGCTCCAACGCATCGCAAAAAAGAAAATTTGGTACAACTACTAACTGCGGGAAAAAATTTACTTAGGCTACTGTGGCGTGGCTGTAACTAAGAATAATGCAACTGTAACTAATTTATAAACAATGCAAACTAATTTATGAAAATTTATTGCAGGCTTAATAATCCAGTAGGCCTAACTGTAAAAAAAACAAAGCGCTAGATCATGAAAGAGGACCGCCAGTAACAATTAATCTATATCAATGTTTGTGTGAATTGAGGGGGGGGGGGGGTGATTGTCCCGAGTAATGATAGTAAAATGTTACTACCTTTTGTGTATCGCATGCTTTACTCAGGTACTGAATCAAGTCAGTAAAACTTATTACATCTTGCGGTCAACCCACCCATTGCCTAATTCAACCTAAACTGTTCTAGCAATCACCGTACTAAATCTAGCAAATTGTGTAAAAAAAAAAAAAGGGGTGTAAATTTCACTATTAAAAATAAACTAGGCTGCTAAGATCAAGAATAAAGAACAATGACCTGATTCTCTGGTAGGAATTACTTAAGATTAACTACTTAAGACTAACTAGGCCTAGGCCTACCTAGGGCTAAATTGCTTGAAACCACCACAAAAAATTATTGTACCCAAAAGGAGTTAGCCTACACAAAATTACTGTGCATGGTGATAAATATACCTCTTCTGTATGTAAAAGTCAAGGGCCATTGCATTTGAATACTTAAATCAATTTAATCTGAACACACTGCAGCTTTAACCTAACAAACTTACCTACTTATGCTGAATATACTGAAAATAGGCCTAACTAACCTTGGGGAAAAAATATTGGGAATTATAATTATCTGTAAAATAAATAAAAGGTACGTTACTTACTATTACTATTGAAATGTGTTTCGCAGCTCAACAGGATGCTTCACATAGCCTAGGCACTCACATGGGTTAAGTAGTCCCACGTCGTACTAATTACACGCATATTCGTCACTTAAAATCGGATATTGAAATGAAAATTTATTGTAAACACGCCAGCTTAAAGTTAAATTTAATATCTTGATGAGTCAACTTGCTCACACGAGGTCACGCCGGAAATTCCAAACTCGATCACGTGATCTGACCTTGCATGATTACACAATGGAATTCATGTTCTAAACCATTACTGAACACCTCAAATTACCTTCCCCGAAAATAAAAAATCGTTTTAAAAGTGAAAATTATGGAACTTAAGACTTACTCAAAGCCTGGCCAGCCGAACAGGATCCCGCGATAGTTACTATGCAGGCCATGATGATGTTACGTAACGCTTTGCTCTGCTACCAACTGTGGGGTCTTGACTGCAATTAACCCAGCTAGATCCACATTTAATAAATATCGTGCTGATTCCACTACCCAATAGCACTCACGTAAACCCTGCCCAGCGTAAGCCAGCTTTGATAAGTCGTGAATAAATTCATTAACTACATTTTTATTTAATTTTAACTACCCCTCGCCATTGAAACTCGCCTGCAGCAACTTGCCCTAAACATGATATCGATAATTGTAAAGTTAATTTAGTTACATCAGTTAATTTATTGTTGGTTGAACCTGCCCTAATTTAGAAAAGATACCCTTACCCCCTTTATCCCCCAAAAGATTACAATTAATTAGACATTATCGGTACTTTACCAACTGTTGACCAAGGATCAGGACCTCCTTCTTCTTCGGCGACGGATCTCAGACAAACCTGCTTGCCGGCGGTTGGTCTTTTCCGGTTGGAGCGCTAGTCTCGGTCCGACTAGAGCTGTCTGCCTGCCTTTGGATCAGCCGATGGGGTTGACTCTTACCTCAATATATATAATTATTGGCGGTGATGTGGGTTACTCCCACATACAGTACCGTATCTTGAACTTAACTGATTCAAACAATCGATAGCTCAAATAAAAGCCTATAATTTACTGATTATTATGAGTCTAAAACTTATAAAAAACATAAACAATACTGGAGCTATTGATTTTTAATCATAGAACAAATTTATAAAAAATCGTTTGTATGCTGGTTGTTCACCTCACGTTTGCTTGAAACTCATCCGATTTGAATAACTAATAGCTTAAATAAAAGCCGGTATTTAACTGAAGTTTCTTAGACCAAAATATATAGGATTATTTCATTATAGCTGGTGAAATACATAATTGAAGTGAGAATTAGAAAATAAATCAAATTTATTTTTTTTGTGGAGTAACAGTAGAGAAATATATTTCGATGCTTGATGTGAAATCTGTGCGTTCATACCTTCAATTTGAGACCTCAATCATGAAAATCGGTGGGGTAAAGGAGCCAAACAAACTCGGAAAAGAAAAACCAAATTTTACTCCCATATGAAATACATGGGGAGAAAATTTTGTTTACGTATAAGTCGAGTGGGGTTGTAGATAAATATATGCCGATGCTTGATGTGAAACCTGTGTGTGCATATCTTCAATTTGAGACCTCAATCATGAAAATCGATCTGGCAAAAAAACCAAACGAACTCGGAGAAGAAAAACCAAATTTTTAAAATGTATAAGATGGTTAACATTTGTAATGATATGATGCAATATGACCGTCAATATTACTCGGTCTGGCAAAAGAACCAAACGAACTCGGAGTAGAAAAACCAAATTTAACTCCCATATGAAATACATGGGGAGAAAATTTTGTTAACGTATAAGTCAAGTGGGATTGTAGATAAATATATGCCGATGCTTGGTGTGAAACCTGTGTGTGCATATCTTCAATTTGAGACCTCAATCATGAAAATCGATCTGGCAAAAGAACCAAACGAACTCGGAGAAGAAAAACCAAATTTTTAAAATGTATAAGATGGTTAACATTTTTAATGATATTATGCAATATGAGCGTCAATATTCATCCTACAATTAAATCACCATAACCTTAGTAACTCAACTTTATACGGTGTGTTTTAGGTCTACAATCAGTTTTTCCTTATCTTAAGGTCAGAATGTTATTTTATTTCCTATACAAACTTATTTTTCAAAAATGTTGAGTCATTGATTTTAGTTGTCAACAAGTTTTCAATAAAATACTTCAGTGCCTAAAATGTCATTTCACAATTTCTAAAACTAGCTGGGATGGGTTTGTGTTTGCACAAAAAAAGTTTTAGCTTAATCTTCCAAATAGGTTCTTTGAAATAATTTAAAACTATAATAATAATTTGTATTTTATCCTATCCTAAACTATAATACAAGAATAGTATAATTCAATATTATTCAATATAATACGAGCTAAGTCTGTTTGTCTGTAACACATATCTCAAAATCCAGCAGAAGGATTTTCACAAGATTTTGGAATTAGGGACTTATAGCCATAAAAACGTGATTGGTGACAGCCACTACCTCAGGAAAATTTATATTTCGCTACACAACTCATTTTAAAATTTAACATTGGCCTTATGGGTTGCTAAGTAGCTATGATGGTTGAACAAATTAACAAGGAAAAAGTAAACAAAATACTTTTAACATGTGTTTACAACAAGACATCCACGGTAACTAGCTAATTACAAATGGTTCGGTCCCCCGGTACTAAAATATAAATATTTAATGACCACCAGCTATTAAATTAGCTTTTTAACCAGTTTCTCTGAGCGTACCCAGACACTGATATGTTTAGTCTCCTCAGCACTTTAACGACCCAGTTACAGAGCTTATGCTACAAATTCTTAATGCTACACTGTTATGTAGATTACTTTACTCAATACAACGATTTCCTAACAATTCCATATGTGTGAGATATAACAAACTGGCACAACCCGTTATGTTAGTTCGCCTAATTAATAGTGTAAATTTGAAAAGTATTCATCTGTTGTAAATACATATTTTCTGATAAAATAAAAGGATTACGTTATCCAACCACAGTTGCTGGTACAACTAGTTTTATTCGTTAGAACTTGGTCAGGTCATTGTATGCAACCACATCATCAATGTTTTTTTTTTCCTAGGATGCTAGGCACGAGCCCGGGATTGATTTTCACGTTACTTCAGGCTAGACCTAGGGGTTGAGGCATTATCACTTAGATAAAATCCAATGGTGATTTGGCGGGATTTGAACCCGAGACCTCACGGACTGAAGTCCCGCGCTCTAACCACTACACCGGTTCGCTCCCTGTTAATACATCATCAATGTATTAATACATTGTGGTATGTCAAAAGATTCTTTAAAATATTATCAAAATCACATAGTCAAAACTAGTCATGTTGATCAAATTATGAAATTGGAATAAAAAGTGATAAAACTGGTTAAAACTGTAAAGGCGCTAGCCAGCACTGTCTTATCACTGTCACTGATTAAATATAACAACTAAACTAAGGAACAATCCTAGTTGTCATACCAGCAACTGTGGTTGGATGAGGTAATCCTTTTATTTTATCAATAATATATTCCAAACAAGGATCACAAT